AATAAGACAGTGTAATAAGACAGTGTAATAAGACAGTGTAATAAGACAGTGTAATAAGACAGTGTAATAAGACAGTGTAATAAGACAGTGTAATAAGACAGTGTAATAAGACAGTGTAATAAGACAGTGTAATAAGACAGTGTAATAAGACATAACTTGGATATATCAACAAAGCTGAAGTGGTAAATTGGTCACCATAACGATTACAAAAGCTGACGTTTCGAGCGTTAGCCCTTTGTCGGAATGAATAGGACATCTATTCGCTCCGACGAATGGCTAACGCTCGAAACGTCAGCTTTTGTAATCGTTATGGTGACCAATTTACCACTTCAACTTTGTTGATATATCCAAGTTATGTCTTATTACACTGTCTTATTACACTGTCTTATTACACTGTCTTATTACACTGTCTTATTACACTGTCTTATTACACTGTCTTATTACACTGTCTTATTACAAGTACTGGTATTATGTGTACACTGTCCTATGAGTGCTCAAAATTGGGCATATTATTATCAATTCCATGCAAGTTTTTTTTTATACTTTTAATTATGTTAAATCATTATAGTTGCTCTGTTATTTTCACTGATGATTCTTCATTTCAAGTATCGCTGACAATACTGATAACAGTTTCATTAGTTACATGGCTGTGTACAATTGAACAATTGGTCAGCATTCATGTATAAAAAAAAAATTTAAACAAATAATACTTGTTGTAGCTCAAACTTTTGGCAAGCAAGCCTCCAGAGGATTTTGTCTTCACAGAACCAAACTACCAAGCATTACAAAATCTAACGAGTGATGTAAGTGTTACCTTTAGTTGCCAATTTATCTGAATACATTAATATGAAAGTATCTGTGATTTTTTGTTTCCAGAATTTAAATTTTCATATTGTCAGCGAAAAAAACCCTAGAAGGAGGTGTGGCAGAATAATTATGATAAGTTTAAATTGTTTGACTGTATTGTTTGTTTACAGATTTCTAACAGGGCCTGTGTTGAAATTACTGCTGTTTTCCCAAAACAGGCCTGCATAGGAGGTATTGCATGATTCCTGCATTTGACAATTTTAATTGGCTTTTGTCAGAATCCTTTTCTTTTTATATCTAAAGCAAATTATGTGTGTTTTGTACTTTATTTTAAGTTACTTGTTGTTTGTGTGGGAAACTGAGGTAATGTTGGGCTAGCAATATACTCTGATTCTATCAATTCTATGTTATTTATTTGATATCTACTGTGGTTTTCTAATCACTTGGCCATTGACAAGTGGCAATACTCGGTCAGACGGATCAAGCAAGCAGTGTCTGTAGAGTATATTATTTAGTTTTTTTTCCCTTAATAACCATCATCAGGTGAAAAACTTTGTCTTCGGGGCAGTGGAATTACAAATGTTACTTGGGGTCAATTAATTAATGAAGTATTTTTTTCATTATTTATGGAAATGTTTCATGTTTTTTTTTTTTTGCGATTTCGATAGAGCGCAACAACGTTACAATGCGTGGGCGTGGCTTTGAAAAGTTCGATTCGGTAGAGTCTCATTCAGTGAGGTGTGGCTTTGATTTTTACGCTACCTATCGCCAAGGTATGATCAATAATGTTGTGATGTGAATATGTTAAAAAAAAAAATGTTTAATGATAAAAAGGTTCGAGGTTTGTGAACGAGTAAAAGTAGTGAAAAAAACGTGATGTTTCCTTATCGTCATGGCGGTGTTTTTCCCCATTTTAGACCTCAAATGTGAGCATTAATAAGGATATTGAAATAATACTAAGCAGTGATTGTTACTTAATCACACATGGTTGGTTTCTTTGGGAATAATGTGCAACCGATAGGCCGGGGATGAAGAACTTTTCAACTAAGATCACCCCAGTATGGTCGAAAGCCCAATTCAAGGTCAATGGTCTTTGATGTTTGACAAGTTGTCGTTACAGTATTTTTGAATAATGCCTCCTTTTTTCCGGCGGAGAGTAACCAACTAGCGTAAGCTCTGCCCCAACCCTTTTTTTTAAATTTATTTTTTATATATATACATACTTTTTACACTGTCTATTGTTTTACATAGTAAGTATTTGTGTATTTCTCGTAAGGGCACACTTAATTTGGAGCCTCGCTCTGTTGTGTGTCCCGCACCTTTGTCCTCCGTTCTCTTCTGTGTCTTGTTCATATGTATATTTTAGTCTTTTTTGTATTGTAAGTATGGTGAAAGCGATTAAATAAATAAATAAATGAATAAACCCTAAGAAGTGACTGTCGTACAGATCACCACATTCAATGTGGAAAATTGTTCTTGCCGTTGGCCATAACTGGGTCGGTTCTTATCGGCGGTTGTTGTTACAAAACCCCTTGATTTTAGTAGTTTATTTATTTCCCTGTTTTCTCATGGCATATAATTACCCGAGTTTTTTTCTTTCACGTATGATGCACGATCCTCGCAGTAGAGAGCGCTATTTGTGCAATAGCGAAAATCAGACCTGAAAAAAAATCAGGCCTGTACGGGATTCGAACCACTGACCTCTGCGATACTAGTGCAGTGTTCTACCAATTGAGCTAACAAGCCAACTTGGAGCAGGTCGTTAAGTTGATTCGTAATAAACCCGTGATGATAAATCATTGCATAAATAGCGCTCTCTACTGCGAGGATCGTGCATCATACGTATCTATAACCGCAGTTCAAAATATATGAACTTCATATATTCATCATATTTTTTTCTTTTGTTATTTTCAGTCACGAAAGCCATTTTAGTTGAGGAGAACCGCTTGGTCTGTCCTGTTCCTGTTTTGAATGACACAGAAAGGTAAATTTGTTTCAATTGGGCAACTTAAAACCAGTCAATGGCCAGTCCAAAAAATTTTGGCCAGTTGTGGCGAGGGAGCCTTAAATTGACGTGTTTGTACAACAAGAACGTAAACTAAATTAATGAATTTTTGATAAAGTATCCAATCGCTCGTGTGCTTAAGAACCAGTCCACTTATGTGATATACATATATTTTTCTTCTGTTTTCAGTGTTCTTATGCTTCACATTTCATTAAACAGTGGAAGGGCATTTGTCTCCAGCAATGTTCATATTTCAGCTAAAAACTGCACAAGAGAAGTGATAATGCCAACGAACACAACGAAGCCAGGAAAAGAAATAGAAGGAGATGAAGATACTTCACCAGAGGTGTGCTATTCATTTCCGCCGATGATTTTCGTAATTCTTATAACCTATTTTTCGTTTGACATTTCCACCTGCGTTTTCCCGCGCTTTAGGCGGCTTGGTTGTTTTTACGTTGAGTTCTCATGGGCTCTGAACCTTTTTACTCCCAAGATCTCATCAGCAATTCTCCCTTCTGTCTGCCATACAACTCTTATGATGCTGGTTGTAAGAATTTGGTATTGGATCAATTCATTATCCTCCAATTGTTATTTTTCTCTATTCTCATCACTGGTCTGCTTGATGTTGTATTGTCAGGAGAACTTCTGTCGCGGTCACTCGCGGGAATTAAAGGGTTTATTTTTTTTCTTCCGTTTATTGATTGGCTGTTTTATTCACGTTGGTGTTGATTTTTAATCGAAAAGAGGTCCTGTCTACTTCTACATTTTTTCCCATCGTTTTTTCAAGTAAGTCACCAAATGGGTCATTCACAGATTATATCTTTTTAGTAAAATCACCTATCTGTTTTTTCTTTTAACAGACTGGAAAGAGAAGTAAAGTGGCTTTAACTTTGGTGCTGCTATTTCTGTTCGCCCTTCTCATTTTACTAGCCGTATGGTGGTTTTGGCCTTGCATTACGACAAAGGTCAGAGATTTTGGTTTTTAATTTTTTCCTTTATCGTATGAATGTGGAAAACGCAGTGGCCTGGTGGTTAGTCCCGAGGACTTCGGACCCAGAACCTGTAGGTCAATAGAGACGATTGAAAAACATGGGTGACCGAAAAAAGGTCGGAATCTGGGAAAGAGAAAAAGGAAGGCCCTCGTGCGAGCATTCCAGTAAACCAGCTGTCACTTTGGCTTGGAATTAGCCAATTTTGACCGAGTGCATCGACTAGGGACGGATCTAAGGCATTTTTTGATGAAAGGGGAGGCGAGAATCTAAACTTTGATTCAGAATCAAATAATGATGATGATGATTAAGATGATTATTATTATTATTTTTATTATCCTTTTTTAAACCAGGGCCTAAATAAACTAAGAGATGTATCTAGATAATTAACTTTTAAAAACTCCAAGTTAAGTGGAAATATGCAGTACTTTAAGCAGAAGCATTGCCTGGCATTGACACCAAATACGTTGCTTCGCACGATGCACTCAAGTAATGGCGAGTTTCATTTTTACATTTTATTAAGTTTTGTTTAGGGTCGATGTTTGTAAACATTTAGAGGAAGAGAGTTGGTGTTTCTCGTGCGTTTATGTAATTTACCTTTTCCTTGTTTTGTTCAGCCTCCGAGAAACTATCAACCGGCTGGTGTATCAGAATCCAAAGAGCCTCCTCTCAGGCCCCCGCCACCAGCGAGACCTCCGCCACCAGCAAGGCCCCCGCCACCAATGGAGAAAACGGTCAGTATAGGCGGATACGCCGTATACACTTTGGAAGAAAAGAAAACATGCATCGGGTGCATTTATTTAGTCATAAGGGAGTGGTTAATATGGAGAATTTGGGACGTACGTTGCAATAGTAAAGAACGAAGCAGATGCAGTCGAGAGCTCCTTGCCGTGATTTTGTTTAAAAAAAATTTTGCGAATTCTTTGTACTTGTACTAGAAGCTCAGACCACTTGTTTGATATTTTAATGAAGCATTCGTGTGACGCAGGGCAACTCGTTTTTACTCGTTGAATGATGAACCCCATCTAAAGACGCCCTCTTACGTCCTTTCGCGCACGATTCACCTTTTCCGCTGTCTCATTTGAAATTCGCGCTCCACGTTAATTTTTACAGCACTCCAACGTCTGACTTTTAGTTTGCGACTTTTTTCTTGATTAGCCGGCTGGTAGGACAAAATGGCCAACAGTAAACGCGTCATTTTACGGGGGAGGAACGGCAGGAGGAATCGTTCCTGTCCGGGTGAGTGTCGGGCTTCTGTCCGGGTGAGTGTCGGGCTTCTGTCAGGGTGAGTGTCGGGCTTCTGTCAGGGTGAGTGTCGGGCTTCTGTCAGGGTGAGTGTCGGGCTTCTGTCAGGGTGAGTGTCGGGCTTCTGTCAGGGTGAGTGTCGGGCTTCTGTCAGGGTGAGTGTCGGGCTTCTGTCAGGGTGAGTGTCGGGCTTCTGTCAGGGTGAGTGTCGGGCTTCTCTCAGGGTGAGTGTCTGGCTTCTGTCAGGGTGAGTGTCGGGCTTCTGTCAGGGTGAGTGTCGGGCTTCTGTCAGGGTGAGTGTCGGGCTTCTGTCAGGGTGAGTGTCGGGCTTCTGTCAGGGTGAGTGTCGGGCTTCTGTCAGGGTGAGTGTCGGGCTTCTGTCAGGGTGAGTGTCGGGCTTCTGTCAGGGTGAGTGTCGGGCTTCTGTCAG